ACATTATTACTTGTTGCTAATTATCTTATTGTAATGGACAGTCTCTCTCTGGCACTGATTGCCTGTCTCAGTTGGGTGTTGTTTTTAGAAATGTATGGAGCCACCAGTTGGAGCAGATCGTTGAACTGGTCCACATCCATGCGGAGAAAACTTCTGAAGCTGCTTCGATCCTCTGTCTATACAATACAAGACTTTTAATACGTTAGCAGTAACACAAACTCTCTCTATGAAGACACTGTTCAGTTCAGAAATATTGTTGTCATCTCAAGTACTCATTTTGTATGTAACGTTACATGTAGTGTGTGTTTGTGTCTGCAAATCACATCAGTAACCACTATAGAGGGAATCGCCTTGTTGTTGACAAATACTGCCGGGTAGAAAACCAGCAGAGTTTAGCTATATATATATATGTGTATGGTAGTAACTCAGTAACTCAATAAACCGTCTGTGAAAAAATATATTTTCCAGCGGATGTCTTCTGAAGCTGCTTCGATCATCTGTCTATACAATACAACAAGCAGACTTTTAATACGTTAGCAGTAACACAGGCTCTCTCTATGAAGACACTGTACAGTTCAGAAATATTGTTGTCATCTCAATCACTAACAATAGTTACAACATGATTGAGCTAACTGGAATAGTTTCATGTTGTATCCGACAACAGGAGGCTTTTAACAGATGATGTCCAGATGTTAGCTTTGCTAACTGTCACTGTTAGCAGCAGCTACTGATGCTTTCTAGACATCGTGATTTCCCAAAACTGAATAAATACCACACATAGCAACACAAAACTGCTTTGCCAGCTCAACCATGTTGTAACTAAGATATCCGCTGGAAAAAAATATTTTTTTCATGGACCGTATATTGAGTTACTGAGTTACAGACACCGCTAACGTCTAATGTTAACAGCTAACGGCTAATCTACGATGACCATGTTATTAATTACAAAACGTGCACACAGAAATAGTAATGTTTGTTCGATCATTCTGTTTATAGACTTTACAAACATCAGATTAGTCTAAACGATGATATAGTGATGTGAAAAATGTGATATATAGCTAAACTCTGCTGGTTTTCTACCCGACGCTAACTGCTAAATGCCAGTGGATGCTAATAAATACATACCTCCAACTCTCTTTGCAAAACTGGCATCCCAAGTTGGCCTCTTTTCCCGAGCCATGACCGCATCCACATTCTCCTCCTCCTTCTCCTCTTCTTCAGACTTTTTTCAATGCACATAAATGCCATGACAACAAGTGCTTCCTTTTTCATTTGTGTTTGTTTTGCTCATCGATCGGTTTTTCTCTTACTATGGCTGCGCAGGTGGGTGACGTACGCTGATGCAGTGCACGCTGATGATGTTGCATATTGACGTACGTCGTGACCGTGACCGTAGTAAATGGCCATCGTACAATCTGTACACATCAAACTTGACGTCGTACCAAAGTTTATTAGATCCACGTCGCACAGTGTGTCATGCAATGGTCTTATAAGATTGCTAAAATCGCACAGTGTATAGAGGGCATTAGGCATGGACTGGGGGGGTTAGGGTTGGGACAGGTATTGTTGCCATTGTAATTTGTACTGGGTCATGCTGGACACAGAATAACTGCCTCTGTAACTTGAAAAAAAACAATAAATAATTGATCTAAAAAAAAAGCGTTCGGGAAAAAGGCCCGTTTATTTGAGCACTCCAAAAACTCCGGTAACACTCCACTCCGTCCCAAACTCTGACTCTTGTAGCGTAACAGACACACTTCATAACTTTACACACATGCTCGTTTACCATACCGAGTGGGGACCCCCCTCCCCTCTCTGCTCAATCTCCAGCCCGCACACTGACTGACAGCGTAGCCGGTAAACAGAGCTCAGCTGTTTATTTAGCCTAGCAATATCTCCGGACTATAGTAGCTGCAATGGACGACTTTGAACGCGCAGAGCCATACCTGTTTGAGCCGGAGCATACAGATGAGGAACTCCATGTGTTTGATGCTGAGTGGGTGAGACGAGAGGCTGAATGCACAGAATGAGATTCGGTGCTACTGCTACCATCGTTGGGAAGATATATCATCAGGAGGAAAAGCGCCACAGAGAGTGCGTCTCAGAGCGTCTTCTTTTCCTCGCAGATGACGGTTCGGGTTCATTCTCTCCTGTTGTGTGGTAAGTGTGGTCCATTCGCAAACTTTATAACTAAAAAAACTTTTCACTACTCTCTATCGACAAACTACTAACACTCTCTGCTGTTTCCTCCTCCTTCTTCCTTCCTTCCGCTGTCTTCGTTGGTTCATTTATACACGCGAAACGCGTTCTCTGGCTGGCTGGATTGTCCGCTCGGGCTGCCTTACATACATGGCGGCACAAGACCTCTCTAAAGCAAGGCCCTTGCTATATATATATATAAAAGCATAATTATAAGGCTACGAAAACCAAACAAATTTTATTTTATAGCTATCATACACTTGTATAAACATATTAATGGGTAGAATATTCAGATTCAGATTCAGATTGACAATAAACCATGCCAAATATTACACACTGGCCCTTTAAGTTGCTTCACATTGGTTTGTGTTCCTTTGAAAAGGGTGAGTTCTTGTGTTGACTTTGGCAAAAAAAACAAACAACACTGAGATTTCAGAATTAAAAAAATGCAAATAAAATAAATTTCCTCAGTTTAATTCCATGTGACGTGCTTCCTACTGCCCCTCAAAATGGCATAGTCCACGAAGCAGTATTCAGATGACACAGCATCCATGTCACAAAAGGAGATCAGAGCAGTTTATAAACAGTCCTAAAGTCTCTTTATATAATATACTAGAGCTCAATTAACAAAGTATGTATTAACATAATAAACATTTATAACTAACCTGTCTCCAAAGTTCTTTAAACAGTTTTTCAAGGTATTTCAAAAATAACACAATTACACAGTAACCTCCACATTTCACACACTGCACTTTTTACAGTGTACACATATTGACTTTAAGCAACTCTTACCTTTCTTGCATTTCACACAGCACTTAGAAAAAATCTGAACATCCACAACTCCAAAGTCCCATCCCCCTCCTCCTGCAACTCCACCTCCCTCCGAAAGCCTACTCCCCCTCCTCCATTATACGTCCTCATTACGTCTATGATAGACGTAGGTGTTGGCAAGGTAATGTTAGATACACGGAAGAGGAGAGCGAGTGTAACACGCCAAGAGAAGAGTAGAAGAGAAGAGTAGAAGAGAACGCAACACCGGAGTTTTAAAACTCAACCGGCGTTAGTGGTGACTGATGAGTTTTAGAATAAGGTTACAGTGCTAACGTTAGATAGCAGCGTTAACGTTACTAGTAAGTGGAAACGCACAAGGAAGATAACGTTAATGTTTCAGAGGCTACACTACAGTAGGCTAACGTTAGCCATTAGCATGGATGCTGTGTTGTCATATAACGTTATATGTTATATTAGAAGCAAACTAAACATAACGTTACCTGTCCTTCACAGTCAAACGCAAACCCGGGGGGATTTTATGTGAGCGGTTACGTCAAGCGGCTTCCATGTGGGGAGGACAGACAGGACGTTCGGCCAGTGATTGGTCAGAATTTTCTCAGAACCATATGAGAATGGTATAATTATGAGTTTGTATCTCTGGTGGAATTCACTTACATTTTAGTATACCATAAGCCTATTAATAGCATTTTAACCTAAACAAAGAAAAGAGTAAAATTTCCAGAAAGGTAAGTCGCTTTAACACATTACAACTACACACAATTACCTTATGAGCTCAACCGAAGCTACAGCAGCGGCTATGGATGTAGCATTTAGCTTGGCCTTTAGCATCTATGCCGCAATTAAGCTAACAATGTAGTCGGCTAAACAGCTCATTAATATCGGTCACAGTATACACAGAACTTCATTTCACACATAATATCCTGACTGGTTTTTGCTCCATACATCATGAAATAAAATGGCATATTACCAAAACGTTAAACAAAGGGATTTTTCCCGGCTAATAAGCTAAGTAATCAGGGTATCCATGTTAATAGGAGACAACTCCCAATACAGCTTTTCACCATGAAATCCTCTCCCACACAGTAACTCAACACTCAGTAGCTCTGTCATTCTGCCAACTCTGCCGACTTTCACTTCAATATTCGTGAAGTTATCTTGTCTCTCCAGGTCTAATTACATGTTTCTTACACTAAGTAGCTATTGGCTGTCCTAAAAGTTGCTTAAAGTCGCTAAATGATGTCATCGCCTAATTTGCATAATTGTCCATATGCATGTAATTGTAATGGAAGCTGTAGGTGAAGAATAAGAACGATACATGCTTTCACGTCAAAGTCTCCAATAACATCAGAAAAAGTCGCTAGATTTGTCGCTAGTCGCTTTTTGAAAAAGAGTCGCTAAAGGGCTCTGAAAGGTTGCTAAATATAACGACACAGTTGCTAAGTTGGCATCACTGGTTTCTTAGACACCTGCCCTTGCTTCATGCTCTGCCGTCAACATGGGGGAGTTACAGTTGGGAGGAGTTTCTTTGCGCAGCCACTAAGTCTGTCTACCTTGCTCATGATGCCTTCAAGGAAAAATCGAAAGTATGTAAACTCCATAACTACTGAAAATAACCTGGGTTACATAAAGTTTTCCCAAAATATATATTGGGAGGGGGGGCGTCCCCCGTCCCCCCCCCGTGATTTCCGCCTATGGTCTCAATTAAAGGTAAGCATCAGAAAAAAGAGATTTCATGATATTTACAAAGGATGCAGTTTGAACTCTGCATTTTATTCTGTGCTATTCTGTACACTGCTGCTAGAATTTAATCTGTTGCTATTCAATTCACTATCTTACATTTCATATTAAAGTGTATTTAATGCATCATTTAACTTATTCAGACTGTTATTGTGTTTCCTTCTAATTGTTCCTGTTTGTAAATCTGGCTTTCACATTAATGCAACACAAACTGTTTATAAATGTGATTAGTACTCTGACACTGTCCACAGTTTAGATATCTTCCCTCTCACCTTGCTGACGCTGATGACTCCCTCCTGGGTGTCTTTGTCAGTGGAGATGTCAAACATGTCCATGCCGTCTCCACTGACGATGGTGAAATACATCTCAGCGTTCTTGCCGACGTCTCTGTCTGTGGCTACAATTCTTCCAACTGAAGTCCCAGACTTGGAGGACTCTGGAACTCTGAATTGGTAAATACCTGAAAACACAGAAAATAAGACAATTAGTTGCTTGATATAAAACTGATGCTAGGTAATGCTGGGAGTTGAGTTGTTTTTTTTATTTTCTTTTTTTTCACACTTTGTTGCTGCTAGTATCCTCCATGTGTAAAATAACTTATATATTTAAGTTATTTTTTGTTAAGTTATTTTTAATGTATAGGACAGACAAGCATGAAGGCGGGGGGGGGGGGGGGAGACGAACCCGGCCGCTGCGGCAACAGCCTTGTACATGGGGCGCCTGCTCTACCACTAAGCCACCAATGCCCCATCCTGGTGTTCTTGAGATATCACATTCACAAGAATGAGATAGATGCAAAGTCACAGTGACCTTGACTTTTGACCTTTTGCCACTAAAATCTAATCACTTCATCTTTGAGCTCAAGTGGACATTTGGGCCAAATTTTAAAAAATTTCCTCACAGGAACGTGGATGCAGAGGCTTATAAAACCAACAATGTGCCAGGTATCAGCTAATCCTCCAATTTGGTTGGGAAAGCATCTGGACTGGGCCACTTCCCACACTGCATTACTTTTAGGGCCGTGCCAAATTTTCAAAGGTAAGTCCACAGATAGAACAACTTGTGAACTTTGTGAAAATGTGTAGCCCTCTCATTTATGTAAACTGAAGCAGCCCGTCAATGCAGTGGGTAAGCCAGTGCAAATGACTCAAAAACAAAAAGTTGAACTTTTGCTGTAAAGAAACATCACGTCATCCAGCAAGGTGCTGTGCTGGCCAGTCGAATACATGCAAGCATATATTCCCAGTAAATTACATTGTAACATGAATGCACAAAAGGTCATTTTTAGCTACAAAAAATGCTTCATCAAAATGTTATAAATGCATTTATTCATTATCCATAACCACTTATCCTCTTCAGGGTCACGGGGTGTTAGAGCCTAACCAAGCTGACATTGGGTAAGAGGCAGGGCACACTTTGGACAGATTGCCAGACTATCACACGGCTGACACACAGAGACAGACAAGCAGTCTCTCTCAAATTCAAACTTAGGGGCAATTAAAAGTCACAAATTGACCTAACCTGCATGTCTTTGGACTGTGGGAGGACCACAAGGGAGAGAGGGATGGAGAGCCCAGAGAAAAGTCACGCTAACATGGGAGGAACATGCAAATTCCACATAGAAGGGCTGGCTGGTTTGAACCTGGAGACCTTCTTGCTGTGAGGCAACAGTGCTTACCACTACACCGCCATGCTGCCCCCAGGTTGTAATAATTCTCAATAATTTATCACTTATAGGTCTGGGTCTGGAAGGATGGTATCTAGGTTTGGACCTCCGGGGATGGACACAGATGGCAAGTTAACATGGGGGACACATTATGGTCATTTTGCTAACAAGAGGGATGGTGCCACTCAAATTGCCTAGTGTGAATGCCATATAGCTGGGTCATGTCCAGTGATTCCATGATGGTGAAAAGCTGAGGTCTGCTTCTCAATGGATTCTTTAATCTATTAAAGTTAGAAAATTTCTCTAAATTTGTGAGATCTCAAAATCCAAAATAGCTACCATCGCTACCATATTATAATTATGATTCTGGCTATTGTGGTACAATATGTTGAAAGTAAATATTAACATCTGATAGTATATGTATGTGACAATTATCATATGTGTATATTAATAGTGGAAGTATGACTAATGATAACAGCAGCAGCAGGAGGCATCAGGCAGGACCACGGCAGCAGCACAACCACACATGTCACACTATCCAGGCACCGCTGTGATGGAAGTTAACCTGCGAGACAGTGGAGCACAAAGGCTCCAGAGAAGAAGCCGAGTTAGTGACATGCAGTATGGCCGAGTTAGCAAGATGCAGTAACAGGACATGAGAGAGAGAGAGAGAGAGAGAGAAGGAGAGAAGGTGCCCGGTGTATTATAGGAGGTCCCCCGGCAGACTAGGCCTAAGTCAGCCTAACTAGGGGCTGGTACAAGGCAAGCCTGAGCCGGCCCTAACTATAAGCTTTATCAAAGAGGAAAGTCTTAAGTCTAGTCTTAAATGTGGAGATGGTGTCTGCCTCCCGGACCGCAACAGGAAGATGATTCCACAGGAGAGGAGCCTGATAGCTGAAGGCTCTAGCTCCTGATCCACTTTTGGAAGACTTTAGGGACCATGATTAACCCTGCATTCTCAGAGCGCAGTGTTCTAGTGGGATAATATGGCACTATGAGCTCTCTAAGATATGATGGAGCCTGACCATTTAGAGCTTTATAAGTTAACAGTAGGATTTTAAATTCAATTCTGGATTTTACAGGGAGCCAGTGCAGAGAAGCTAAAACAGGAGAAATATGATCTCGTTTCTTAGTTCCTGTTAGTACACGTGCCGCTGCATTCTGAATTACCTGGAGAGTTTTTAAAAACTTATTAGAGCTACCTGATAATAGGGAGTTACAGTAATCCAGTCTAGAGGTAACAAAAGCATGGACCAATTTTTCTGCATCTTTTTGGGTCAGGGTAGACCTAATTTTCACAATATTACGCAGATGAAAAAATGCAGTCTGTGAGGTTTGTTTTAAATGAGAATTAAAAGACAAATCTTGATCGAATATTACTCAAGGTTTCTTATGGTAGTGCTAGAGGCCAGAGCAATGCCATCTAGAGAAACTATGTCATCAGATACAGAGTCTCTGAGCTGTTTGGGGCCAAGAACAATAACTTCAGTTTTGTCTGAATTTAACATAAGGAAATTGGTGCTCATCCAGGTTTTTATGTCTTAAAGGCAGTTATGAAGTTTAGTTAATTGATTAGTTTCTTTTGGCTTCATCGATAAATACAACTGTGTATCATCCGCATAACAATGGAAATTTACAGTGATTTCTAATGATGTTACCCAAAAGGAAGCATATACAGTATAGAGTAAATAGGATTGGTCCGAGCACAGAACCTGAACCTGAACTCCAAAACAAACTTCAGTATGTAAGGATGATTCATCATGAACATGAACAAACTGAAAACGATCAGATAAATAAGATTTAAACCAGCTTAGTGCAGAACCTTTAATGCCAATTACATGTTCCAGTCTCTGTAGCTGAATTTGATGGTCAATTGTGTCAAACGCCGCACTAAGATCTAATAAAACAAGTACAGAGACAAGTCCTTTGTCTGAAGCAATCAGAAGGTCATTTGTAATTTTAACTAGTGCTGTCTCAGTGCTTTGATGCACTCTAAATCCTGACTGTAATTCCTCAAATAAATTATTATCATGGAGAAAATCACACAGCTGGTCTGCGACTACTTTCTCAAGGATCTTTGAAAGAAAGGGAAGATTAGATATTGGTCTATAGTTGGCTAACACCTCTTGGGTCTAGGGTGGGCTTTTTTAGGAGAAGTTTAATTACAGCTACCTTAAAATACTGTGGTACATAGCCTGTTAATAAGGACATATTGATCATATCTAATATATGAGTGTTAACTAAAGGTTAGACTTCCTTAAGTAGCCTAGTTGGGATGGGGTCTAAGAGACACGTTGATGATTTAGATGAAGAAATCACTGCAGTCAATTCTTGAAGAGAAATCGGGGAGAAGCAATCCAAATATATATTAGGTCTTACAGCTGTGTTTGAGGGCAGATAGGTACTATCTGAGGACAGGAGGTCATGAATTTTGCCTCTAATAGTTAGAATTTTGTCATTAAAAAGCTCATAAAATCATTACTGCTAAGGGCTAAAGGAATACAAGGCTCAATAGAGCTTTGACTCTCAGTCAGCCTGGCTACAGTGCTGAAAAGAAACCTGGGGTTGTTCTTATTTTCTTCTATCAAAGCTGAGTAATAGTTTGCTCTGGCATTGCGGAGGCCCCTCTTGTTTAATCCCAGATTAAACAAGATTCTTCCAGTTTGGTTAATCGCCAATTCCTTTCAAATTTTCATGATATTTGTTTTAACTTACGGGTTTGCAAGTTATACCAAGGAGCGAACTTTCTTTGCTTTGTTAACTCCTTTTTAAGAGGTGCTACGGAGTCGAGTGTTGTTCGCAGCGAGCCTACGCCAGATACGATCCTGCTCTGCGTACTTGCTGTCTTTTCTGCCTTTATCGTAGTTACATTTTTGCCTTTGTTTTGCCTTCTCCAGGTTGTTGCTGACAATCTTCCTGAACTCTGATATCTGGTCAGCAGTGGTATATGCAAGAGTGTCAGGGTTACTGAAGTGTGGCCTCAGCTCATCATCCAAGGGCCCTTTCAGAGGATGCCTGAGGTTGAGATCTGCAGGGGTGACTCCCGTCGACTCATGTACTGCTGAGTATAGTAGTCCACAAACAAGATAGAGGTTGCCATTGCAGCTTCAAGGGAATGGTCCCATAAGGTCGACTCCTAACATTTCCCAGGGTCCATTCACCACGGTCTGTTGGAGCTTCCCAGGAGGTTTCCGGGTCTCTGGTTTGTAGAGCTGACAAACATGGCAACACTGCACGTATTCTCTCACATCCAGGCTCATCTTCGGCCAGTATATGAGGGCTTGTAGCCTCTTGTATGTCTTACATCTCCCCAGATGCCCAGATAGAGGACCATCATGGTAATGGTGGAGAAGCTGTTTACGGAGTGAAAATGGAATGTATATTTGATAGAGCGTCTTGTGAGGGAACTGTACCACCCGGTACACCTTGTCCTCTAATACGGTGAACTTGGTGGTTGGATTTTCACGTACCTCCCATGCTTCCATGATCCTGTCGTACAAAGACTGGATGATAGAGTCATCCTTTTGAGCCTTCCAGATGTCCTCGTCTGTGACTTGGAGATCTTTGGAGGTGTTCCTCTTGGAACAAAGCACAGCAGCACAAGTGACAAGTGGGTACTGGGGTGCTCCTATGGGAGCTCTGGACAGAGCATCTGGGACAGCATTATATTTTCCTTTACGGTATTCAACCATAAAGGAAAACTCCTGGAGGCGAAGAGCCCACCGAATGAGGCGAGTGCTGGGTTTTTGAGTCCTGAAGACCCAAACAAGGGATGAATGGTCCTTCATTCATCCACCAAATGCCTGCCCTCCAGGTAATACCTCCACTTCTCCAGGGCCCAGACGACTGCGAGGCATTCTTGCTCTGTTGTGGAGTAGTTCCGCTCTGCCTGATTTAAAGTGCGGCTGGCGAAGGCCAGAACTTGCTCAGTTCCCAGACCAGT